CCTCTGAACCGGCATGTTTGCATAAAGCCCCCACGCCAATTAATCCAGGGCTGGACAAGACAGGTCACCAGTGAAGGATAAGCTCTCTTTTGATAAAGCGGGGAGACATTTCCAGGCATGATTCATTATGACATCTGCCTTAGTGTGTGGTAGAGCACTGCACCAAGGTGGGTTTGGGGAAGCACAGGTGGGGGGTGATGAAGCCCACCACAAGGGCTTTTCTCTAGCAATTTCACAGTTGCATCCCCAAATCTACTCCATGTAGAAGGATTTAAGCCAAAGCAATGAGGGAGGCCTTTTGCTAGAGGGAAGAGTGAGAAGACGCTTCGCCTTCGGCTGGGACATTTCAAATGAGCATGGATTTCAAGTCTGGGCTCGTGCCTCTGAACAAGGCAGTCTGGAGCCTTGCAACAAATTGCTGCAGCATATCCCTGACGTTTGACAGTATGATAGGGAGCTGGAAGGAAGTGAGTATCGGTACCAGAGTCAAGAGTTCTAATTGTCCTCTAACTTGGGGTTCACTGTCTATTTAATTCGGGGAGGTTTGAACGTTTAAGAAAATGCAACCAGTCAGCCTTCAGTGGTGCTTGAGGCTGCTCCACTCAGTCAAGGGTTTGCTTTCACCTGGGAGGAAGTTTGAGCCAGCAATTTAACCTGAGGAATATCCTGCAGGGCTGCTGTAAACCACAGTCTCTCAGCCTACCTCTGCAACAAATTGCCCTACAAGGTTTTTATCAACAAAGCTCTCAGCTTCAGCCCAGCCTTTACGAGAATGGTTCAGCCGCTCACAGCTGAACGACCCTGCAGGGCTCTCCGAAGCCAGTCCGCCCAGCCTGACCGTGAGTTGCATTTCTTCAGCATCTGCATTACTGACACAGTTTTCAAAAAACAAACAAAATCACACGAACTAGGCACCCTGGAGCAGGAGCAGCTCGTTGCTGCTGTCTTTGGGGAGGGAGTTGGAGGAGGGCAACGGGGGCGGTCACACAGTCTCCGCTACCTCACAGTCTCGGCCGTCTCCTGCTTTCTGTGCGCAGCTCTCACTTGTCTCCCAGGGGACAATGAAAACTCTCGACCAGTGATGTCAAACCTTTTAGAGACCGAGTGCCCAAACTGCAACCCAAAACCCACTTATTTATCACACAGTGCCAACACTGCACTAAAACTTGAAAACAGGTTTTAGCTTAGAAAAACAACTCTCAGCCAGTTCAAGCAAATAGATATATATCCTTGGCAGCGCACTGACCGGCCACGTGAAAGCTCGGATGAATCGCAGCTAATGAGTCATAGCTTGTGACATCATCGCCTGGCGCCACTACTCTTTTCCGAGCATGTGCAGGGCACCTATGTGCGCGGTTATCTGACGCTCGGCTGCTGGGGCAATGCTGGGGCGACTTGGCCCGCGTGCTGACAGAGAGGGCAGTGCTTGCCCACTGTGGCAGGCATGCCATAGGTTCACCACCACTGCCCCAACGCTACCCTGGAGCACACCCTTAACCCTAATATAGTACAAAAGTTCCACTGAAAATAGGATGATTTTCAAACAGCCTTCCTTGAGTAGCTTTTTCTGCACAGTTCATCATTTTGGCCCATTCTAAACACATTCCAACCATCAAAATCATGCCAGGACACCTCGTTTTCATAACCCTAACCCTACCCTGGTGCACACCCCTAACCCTAATAGAGGGCTCAAGTTCCATTGAAAAGAGGACAATTTTGAAAAAGCCTTCCCTGAGTAGCTTTTTCTGCGCAGCTCATCATTTCTGCCCACTCTAAACACATTCCAACCATCAAAATCATGCCAGGACACCTCGTTTTCCTAACCCTAACCCTACCCTGGTGCACACCCCTAACCCTAATAGAGGGCTCAAGTTCCATTGAAAAGAGGGCAACTTTGAAAAAGCCTTCCCTGAGTAGCTTTTTCTGCGCAGCTCATCATTTCTGCCCACTCTAAACACATTCCAATCATCAAAATCATGCCAGGACACCTCGTTTTCCTAACCCTAACCCCACCCTGGTGCACACCCCTAACCCTAATAGAGGGCTCAAGTTCCATTGAAAAGAGGGCAACTTTGAAAAAGCCTTCCCTGAGTAGCTTTTTCTGCGCAGCTCATCATTTCTGCCCACTCTAAATACATTCCAACCATCGAAATCATGCCAGGACACCTCGTTTTCCTAACCCTAACCCTACCCTGGTGCACACCCCTGACCCTAATAGAGGACTCAAGTTCCATTGAAAAGAGGGCAACTTTGAAAAAGCCTTCCCTGAGTAGCTTTTTCTGCGCAGCTCATCATTTCTGCCCACTCTAAACACATTCCAACCATCAAAATCATGCCAGGACACCTCGTTTTC